TCTCAACCCCACAGTAGCCAAGTGAACAGCAGCAGCAGAGCCCATCTTTCTCAGTTCTTAGACACTCCTGGCTGGTATTATGAACAGTGAATAAGTCTGGTGCCAGTCTAGGGAAACCAGCTTTTTATACGAATGCTTAAAGTGATAGTTTGACAAAATAAAGCAAACTGTTAAAAATACCTTTTAAAGAGGGCATAAAAATGTTCAAAGCCTTGAGCGTCTTCATCGTTGTTTGTTGTTCAGGGGATATACGAAGACAATGAGATCTCAAACAATGCTCTGGCTGGGATCTGGGTGAAGAACCATGGAAACCCAATCATCAGGCGAAATCACATACACCATGGTAGAGACGTGGGTGTTTTTACATTTGACCATGGCATGGTAAGATACAGCTCACTGGTGTTTGGTTTTTGTGTAATTTTTCTTGAAGGCTTGGTTACACAAGGTTTTTATTTATACTGTTTGTTGCTGTTAATGGATTAAAAGGACTTGGAGTAGTTTTGGCTTTTTCTGTCCATTACCAGGGTTACTTTGAGAGCTGTAACATCCATAGGAACCGTATAGCCGGCTTTGAAGTGAAGGCATATGCCAATCCAACAGTGGTTCGTTGCGAGATCCATCATGGTCAGACGGGGGGTATCTACGTGCATGAAAAAGGCCGCGGCCAGTTCATTGAAAATAAGATCTATGCAAATAACTTTGCAGGGGTGTGGATCACCTCTAACAGTGACCCCACAATAAGGTTGGTGTGACGTGGCTATCAAAGTTTACAGATGATAGAAGTATCATTTAATAGGTGTCAAATTGGACACTAGTCCATGAGCATTTATACCATGTCTTGAAATTTGGTGTGTTGTCAATATACAGGGGCAACGCCATTTTTAATGGCAACCAAGGCGGCGTTTATATTTTTGGTGATGGCCGAGGCCTCATTGAAGGAAACGACATCTATGGTAATGCCCTGGCAGGAATCCAGATCAGGACGAACAGCTGCCCTATTGTCAGACATAACAAGATTCACGATGGCCAGCATGGCGGCATATACGTGGTAAATATTTTTAAAACCTAGGCATCCATTGAACCATAAAGTTACTTCCTCCGTGTTTTTGTTTTTAATTCAAATAATAGTCTTACATCTTACTTAGCAGTGATGTGTGGTGTTTTCTCATCATGCAGCATGAAAAAGGACAAGGCGTCATAGAGGAGAACGAGGTGTACAGTAACACACTGGCAGGAGTGTGGGTGACAACAGGCAGCACACCAGTACTGAGGAGGAACAGGATACACAGCGGGAAGCAGGTGAGATTACAAGTTTAACAATAAGAAAGAAATGTGAAGTGTGATGTACCAGAATCAAACTCAGAGAGTTCACACACAGCCTTTATTGAGATGCATGCTGTTATCTGATGTGATGTAGTTGAACAGGCATTAATGGGACGTCAGACTGGCTTACTGTTAGATATGATAAAAAAAATTCCATTGTGATCTTATGCAGGTAGCACCTTCATATAGAATTAAATTCCTAAAATGTTCTCTTTCATTTAAACAGGTTGGGGTCTACTTCTATGACAATGGCCATGGGGTGCTGGAAGACAATGATATCTACAATCACATGTACTCTGGAGTTCAAATTAGGTTTGTGGAAAATGACAATAATCTGGAAATATTTACCCAAAAGCCAGATGATAATGAAACTTTTTTTTTTTCCTCATTTAGTTTGGATAAATTAGTTATTAATGAATGTCCCACTGAAGGCAGACTTGAGCCAGTTGTCCTGATGTTATGTCAACACACGTAGCATTAGTGGAGCAGTAGATCAAGTGTCTTTTGTGTATCCTTTCTGTGGCAGGACTGGCAGCAATCCTAAGATCAGACGAAACAAAATCTGGGGAGGCCAGAATGGAGGCATTCTGGTTTACAACTCAGGTGAGAAGCAGAAAAGTCTTTACTGTTTTATGTCATGGTCAGTACTAATATATTGTTTGACCAATGTGGCACTTCTCTCCCTTTTTACCACAGTAATGAAATATGGATTTCTGTTTTTCAGGCTTAGGTTTTATCGAGGACAATGAGATCTTTGATAACGCCATGGCAGGAGTGTGGATCAAAACAGACAGCAACCCCACTCTACGGAGGAATAAGATCCATGATGGGAGAGACGGTGGGATCTGTATATTTAATGGAGGAAGAGGTAATTCATCAATTTATGGTATGAAAATATCACGTATACTGATTACAGATGTCAGGCCACAGAAGTGCAAGGAGCTTTTTGGAGAGCAGTCGGTATGCTTTTTATGAATGATTTCAGTTGTGCACTCACTTTGCATGTCTCTTTGTGAAACCGATGGTGTCATTACTGTCTTCAGGTTTGTTAGAAGAAAATGACATCTTCAGAAATGCCCAAGCAGGAGTCCTCATTAGCACCAACAGCCACCCTGTACTGCGGAAAAACAGGATATTTGATGGCTTTGCTGCAGGTGGGTAGCACCTGTCCACAGGCTGTAATCTGTTGGGCTTTTAACAACTTGCAAATGCGCCTGTGCTTGGTAATTGGAACTGGGAGCTCTGTAATTTGAACTTTATTTTTTTTTCCGGCTAGGTATTGAGATCACCAATCACGCCACAGCGACTCTAGAGGGCAATCAGATCTTCAACAATCGCTTTGGTGGCTTGTTTCTTGCATCTGGGGTCAACGTTACAATGAAAGGTATTCTTCTGGTCACAAAGATTTTGACATATGCTCTTGACCAAAAATGTGAGTGACTTGAAATTTGCTAATTTCTGCTATCTCTTCTCCAGATAATAAAATAATGAACAATCAAGATGCCATTGAAAAGGCTGTGAGCAGAGGTCAGTGCCTGTACAAGATTTCAAGTTACACCAGCTACCCAATGCACGATTTTTACAGGTAATGTGTTTATAGTCAAGGTGACTATAATACTCCCAGTGGTTGGTTTGTTTTGTGATTGACAAACTGTTTGGCTTCCCACAGGTGTCACACCTGTAACACGACAGATCGCAACGCTATCTGTGTGAACTGCATCAAGAAGTGTCACCAGGGACATGATGTGGAGTTCATCAGACATGATAGGTCAGTCTGACTGATTGTATTAATACAAATGAATGCTCTGATTAGAGTGACCTCTGGCATGCGGCGCTGTACAAACAGTTGCATCAAACGTGTGTGTTCTCATACCAGTTTCACCTGTTTATGGATGAGTGATCTAATGAGCAGTAGAAAAACTTGCATCGCGGGGGTCAGAAAGACAGGTTAGAGCATTTAAAGGCAGTACTCGGGTAGAATGATGTTAGCGAGCAGTCTTAGAGGTGTGCAAAAGGCACGTAATCAAAATATTAATTGTGTCAGAGAAATTGGGGCCATTAGGCAGTAACACAAATCTCAGGCATTCTGTATGGATTCAGGGACAACTGTTGCAACTAGTCCAGGACTTTGCAGGTCTCTTTTTGAGTCACTGAGATGTACGGCAGCTTTCATCAGGGTCAGAGATGGCCGGCCACACGAGGTTTTGTTTTCCTATTTTCTGAGTTGGTGTGTGAAACTGTTTTTCTTCTTTGTACCTTATTGGAATTTAATCCCATGTAATTTCTCCTTTCCTTACCCACCTGCAGATTCTTCTGTGACTGTGGTGCAGGGACGCTGTCAAATCCTTGTACATTAGCCGGAGAGCCCACTCACGACACAGACACGCTGTATGACTCGGCTCCTCCTATAGAATCCAATACACTGCAGCACAACTGAGCTTGAGACTCAAAGTCCTTTTGTGCTTCAGCAGCAGAGGACTTGAGACAATTTAAGTTGTGCAGTGGAGGAGGGAATCCGAACTGAAATCCAGATTCACTTTGACAGAGCATATATGGCAGAGCATAAAAAAAGACTTGGATATGCCAAAAGGAGACATTTAGAAAAAAAAAAGTCTGATTACGGATGCCTCGTGTTTTCTTTTTCTTCAGTTATTTGACAAAAAAAGAAAGGAAAATAAAGACCTCATTGGAACGGAGCAGGCGAGCAGCTGACTCAGGGTTTGTGGGTGTGTTGGTTTGGTCAAGTGAAACCAGTGAGAGACAGACACAAAGCCACCGAGGCTCATCTGCTTTCAAGAAGTGGAACATACTGCAGTCATGTATAGCCCCATCGTGCACAGATGCTCAGTCAGAAGATGCAACTTTTCTCACGAGAAGGCCCCAGATACAACAATGCTTCCAACTGCGCTCCCCCCCAAGACAATTGAGATTTGATTTTAATGCTTTTTGTGTAGTTTTGTATTTTCATGCAAAATCTTACTGTACTTGAATGTCTTTATTTTATTAAATGTGTTTTTTTTGGTTATATACCCTAGAATTGCTGTAATTATACTCATGTCACAGTATCTAACTTCTTTCTGTGAAAGAGACCAGAGAAAATCGGAGAACACTAAATATTTTCTCCAGCAATGTTGACTCATTTACATTACAGAAATATTGATGCTGAAATGTGCTTTCACAAGGCTTGTATAGCTTCATTTTTGTTTGGAATAGCATCCGAAATGTTTGTAAGGGAGCTGAACGGTTAGTTATATTTGTCAGTTTTATATCATCTATGCATATTTAGTTTGTCATGCAAGACCCAACTTACAGGAAGGTCAAATGAGGGAGATAGGGGACAAAATGAAGTATTTTTATTAATGGCCACAGTTCCTCAACAGTTCTCTTTACTTTACCAAATCACAACCGCATTGCTGGTTGGGGCCAGGGTATTTTCTGAATAAGTATATTTGGATGATTATACCCTCTGTGATAAATTGACTGTCACAGATTTTTTTTTTTTACCCTGTATTAGAAGCAGTGAAGAGGCACACATGGTGCTCCTTGGCATATACATTTTTTTCTGACTTAATTTTCACTTTGGTCGGGGCCAAGAAAAAAACAAGACGGGTCTTGTGAAAGCACAGTTAACTTTGTGCTCTTT